TACATTAAAGCTACAGACAAATACCTTTCCTATTTATTTCATTAGGTTCTCATTTGCCTGGCTAAATCGGATCGGGATCCTCGCACGTCTCTCTGGAAATCTTTATTTGTCAATCAATTTGCCGCTGATCCATGGACTAAGGATCAGATGGAAAGAAAGCTCACACTTCAACGCTTTCAGTATGAAAACCCTGGCATGGATTTTTCAAGTGCTGAGATCTCTGGAAATTATATGGCTGGCGGGCCAAATATGTTCTAAGATTTCTCCTATTAAATGAACTATATCGTAGACTATTTGTTTTATTATTTTTCATGATTTTCTGCCTCGATATCTTGACATATTTTTCCTCTTCAGCATGTCTATTGATAAAACTCTCATTGGGAGACATTTTGTCCGTGGCTCATCGAGCACCTCGGAAAGGTCCAAACCATTTTGTTTATCCCAGCACTCATCCAGCCATGAGGAAGTTATGTCGGGATCTGAGGCCCGTGGTTTCTACGAGTCTCTTATTGACGACGAAGATGTGGTTATCATTGGGGAATCTAACTGCCCCACAATATCATTTAATGCCGATCAAGTTACAAATTTAACGACTTGTAAAATGTGTGGTTTAGAGTTTTTATCTGACAAAGATAGTGAAGCCAGACACATTATTTCCATGACGCATCAATTTGCTCTTCTCTCTAAAAACCCACCTCCTCCGTCGCCTCTCGTACTTTCCTCCTCCAATATTGGATACCGAATGCTCTCCAAGATGGGTTGGAAGGACGTAAATCAGATTCGCGAGGTGAATATTTCTGGTTCTAGCTCCGATTCAGAGGTGGATAAAGAGCACTCAACCAATCTTCCATTGAAAAGTACGTCGGAATTCCCATCCACAACGAACTCAGACCTACGTCAGGTGGGCGTTTGCGGCGGTCTCGGTCGAGACGGCCGTGGAAGGCGACATCCGATTGCCACCGTCTTGAAACGTGACCGACATGGCCTGGGGTGGCGTATCTTGGCCTTACAAACCGATTTGAAACCGTATACACAAACATCTAAAAAGGCATTCTCTGGTTCTAATATTGTCTATCGACGACCTCATCTCGCTCGCGTCACGCATTTCGGACCACGAGACACAGCTGCTGTGCAAGATCCTCCCTTTAAGACTGGTGGTAGGAAGGGGAGTAGCCGGGCTATAGTTCTGGACAAGCGATTGCACAAGCGGCTTCGACATCAAGAACGAATAAAAGAGCGGCAGCTGCGTCTAGCGATGGATCTCACACGCGACGAATAGTCTTTATAATCAACATTTTTAACTCCTGAGGCAAGATCTCTGCACTTGATACTTATTGATACGCTTTACCCTTGTTATTCCTCTTTCATTGGGCTTGAATAGTCTTTCCGGGTGATTGTTTCTGGGCTTAATGTTGAATTTGCCACATTTTGTAACTTGTTATCT